CACGCCTGCTGGATCTTCGCAGAGAGGGCCGGTCTGGCCGGCCAGCGGCGCCCTCACCCTCCGCCCAGCTCCAAGGATCCTCGCTCTGGGTAGATCCCGCCGCCGCCCCAACATCTGGCAGTCGCGCCCCGCCCCCCGCGCCCGAGCCAATGGGGCGGGGCGGGGCTAAAGCGGCCCCGCCCCTCGGGCCCCGCCGGGTGGGTGACCTGGGTGTACCCTCCCCACTCCGCAGCGGTCCCGGGGCTAGGGGCGGAGCTGTAGCTGGAAGGCCGGCCTGGCCCGGTACCCCTTCCCCGCCCCCAAGCGATCGAGCGAGTCCTGAGTTCATTGTGTGACGCAGGGCAGGGCATTTTCCCCAAGTAGCTTCGGCTTTTGTCCCGTGGTGGAATAGCGGTCCCTTCCAGGGGGCCCGTGCTGCGACCACGTGGGAAGAGCGCCTCGATCGTCAGACTCAGCGACGTCCTGCCCTGTTCTGGGCTCGACCCACTGGACCGCTCTTTAGGCGGGCATCGACACTCCCTGAAAGCGATGGGAGTGGGGTTTGGTCCCTCTGAGCACTTGGGAAGCGCCCGACTTCGCGACAGCGAGCGGGAGGAGCCCCAGCCAAGGCCCAGCCCACAGCCTCGCCGCTGCTAGTCTGGGCCGAGCTAGGCGGGACCGCCCTCTAGCGGGAGCTGACCGCGGGCCGCCAGATCAGCGGCGATCTATGCCTGACACCGCGAGTAGACAGGGGGGCGACACTCTCCGGCCATAGTGGTCAGAGTCTGTTCCCCAGGGGTGCTCCATGATCCGAAACTAGGCTCAAGGGTCCGGACCATCTAGAGATAGACTTGATGTGGCAGCAGGCAGGAAAATGCGAGGAAATGGGGTTGGACTAGCCGGTGGGAAGGCACCCTCAGAGGAGGTCATCTCAGGATGCAGTCTGGGTGAGCCATCACGCCGAGATCAAAAAGAGGCATCCTCTGGGAACCAGCAGTTAGCGTAATGGCTATGTCGCTGGACTCCCACGTAGTCGACCGCGGTTCGCGTCCCGGATCTGGTAGCTTAAAACTCATGCCGGGTGCATGTGTGTGTGTGCCCAAGATCCCGAGAGGAGAATGGAGGAGAAGGGATTGCAGCGTGACCATCCCCCCGGGGAGGGTGATTTCTCGTTTTCTGTCTCTATGTCTCTGTCTGGTGAGTGCACGCACCCTATAGTGAAACACCACCCAGAAGTGAAAAACCCCCAAAAAAAAAAAAAAAAAAAAAAAAAAAAAGAGGCATCCTTGCAGAGGGATGAACACCAACACAAAGACCCTGAAAGGCAAGCTAGACAGAGGGTGTCTGACTGCTGGAGGAGGGGGGCAGTGAAGACCTGGGCGCCACCAGGCTCCCAACAGCTTAGACAGGAAGAAGTCACTTGTTCTGGGTGGAATGGGGAGCCATGGGCTGGCTCCTGTTTAGGTAATAACCAGACTGGAGGATCCTGCCCCCATCCAGGCAAGAGAGCAGAGGGCCTGGGCCTGGGGGGGCAGTTGTACAGAAGGAGGGGTCACTTTTGCATGTTCTGTGCCTAAAATCAAGCCTTGTGGCTGCATGGACATGAGGAAAGAGGCATCCACTTGACTTTGACATTTCTGGCCTGAGCACCCGGTTGGATGGAACTGCCGTGATTTGATGCAGAGAAGCCTGGTCAAGAGTGGATTTGGGGAGGAAAGTCGAACAATAATGTATGTGACCCTCTTGCCTGTTTGACAGCCAAGAGGAGATGCAGCGTCAGCTGTGAGGGGCACGACCCCAGAGTTTGGGAGACAGATCAACCCTGGAGCCGTGGAGCTGAGAGGCAAGGTGTTATTTAAGACTATGAGTCTGGCCAGCCAGGTGGTATGGTGGTTAAGGCAGCTGGATTCCACATGGCCGGCTGTGTGGTCCTGATCCGCTGGCTCGAAAAATACATGGGCAGGGCTGGAGGTGTCTCAGTGGTTGAGGTGCTGAACTTCCACGTGGTTGACCACGATTTGAGTCCCGGACCTGGCAGCTCGAAACTCATGCTGGGCACATGTGTGTGCATGCCCAAAATCCCAAGAGGAGAATGGAGGAGAAGGAATACAGTGTGGCCATCCTCCCGGGAATGATTTCATCTCTCGCTCTCTGTCTCTCTGGAGAGTGCATGTGCCCTATAGCAAAAATCTCTCTTAAAAAAAAAAGATGGGAGACTAGTGAACAGTAAGTCAGGATGGCTAAAGGTGACCCCGAGAAACCCAAGGGCATGATGTCTGCTTATGCCTTCTTTTTTTTTTTTTTTTTTTGGTTTTTGCTATAGGGTGTGTGAGTTCGCCAGACAGACAGAGAGAGACAGAGAGACAGAAAGCGAGAAATCACCCCCCCAGGGGCGATGGTCATGCCGCAATCCCTTCTCCTCCATTCTCCTCTCGGGATCTTGGGCACGCACGCACATGCACCCGGTGTGAGTTTTAAGCCACTGGGTCTGGGACGCGAACCGCGGTCGACTACGTGGGAGTCCAGCAACATAGCCATTACGCTAACTGCTGGTTCCCTGCTTATGCCTTCTTTGTGCAGACCTGCAGAAAAGAACATAAGAAAAATCCGGAGGTCCCTGTCAATTTCCCCAGATTTTCTAAGAAGTGCTCCAAGAGGTGGAAGACAATGTCTGGGAAAGAGAATTCGAAATCTGATGAAATGGCGAAGGTGGATAAAGTACACTATGACCGGGAAATGAAGGATTACGGACCGGCTCAGGGAGGCAAGAAGAAAAAGGACCCTAATGCCCCCAAAAGGCCACTGTCCGGATTCTTCCTGTTCTGTTCAGAATTTCGCCCCAAGATCAAATCCACCAACCCTGGCAAAGAAGCTGGGTGAGGCATGGAGCAACTTACGTGACAGCGAGAAGCAGCTTCACATCAGTAAGGCCGCAAAGCTGAAGGAGAAGCAGAGAAGGATGTTGCCGACTGTAAGTCTAAAGGCAAATTTTGATGGCGCAAAGGGGTCCTGCCCAAGTTGCCTGGAAAAGGGTGGAAGAGGAGGATGAAGACGAGGAGGAGGAGGAATAAAAACCCGTTGCTCTGTCTCCTTGTGAGCCCCTTAGCGTAGGGGAGCGCGGTAATGGCACCTCTCAGTGGAGGCGTGTCTACTGCCCTCACTAGGTTTAACTGCAGAATTGGATCACGATCACGTGTCGCTCAAAGAGCTCTAGAAACTGTCAGTGGTTTACATGAAGTGGCCATGGGTGTCCGGAGCGCCCTGGCCTGTACATATTTCCAAACATTTTTAAAATGAAAAGGCACTCTTATGTTCTCACTCTGTGCCCTTTGCTGTTGGTGTGACAAGGCATTTAAAGATGTCCCTGACATTTTTGTTTTCCTGAATTCGTAAGGTGGTGTTAACTATATGATTATTGGCTAGAAATCCTGAGTTATCAACTGTACCTCTCTCTGGTCTGTAAAGAGAACAGGACAACAGTGACAAACTCTCCGTGCTCCTGGCTCGGTAGAGGCTGCGGGAAGGGCACCTGTTCGCGGGGCCGTGGCTCAGGGCGTGCACTGGGAAGCTGGGCCCGTCGGCTCTGTGTAGGCGTCAGGGTGTCTTGTTCGTACATAGTGACCCAGCGTTCTGCTGCCATTCTAAGCTGTGGTAAAGGGGAGTCGGCTGGCATAAGAAGGGATTGGATTTTTGTGGTAGTTTTAAAGTGCGTTAAGTGTGGTAGTTTTAAAACTTTGTTTTAAATAAACTGTAGGACTCTTCATTGTCAGCAAAGCCAAGAGCCCCTGCATCAATGAAGCGAGAGCCTCTGTACTTAAAACATTTTTGCAACATTCTGTTATTTGTTTTATGTTTAGAATGCTGAAATGTTTTTGAAGTTAAATAAACAGTATTACATTTTTTTAAATTTAACTTTACTTATTTATTCATTTATTTATTTTAATTTGACCAAAGAAGGACAGAGCCAGAGAGAGAAAGGGAGAGAGAGAAAGCAAGCTGCCAGGACCGGGACTCAAACTGTGGTCAGCCATGTGGGAGTCCAGCACTCTTAACCACCATGTCACCTGCCCGCCCCGACAGTATTACCTTTCTAAAAACTGGACCCAGGGGCTTCAAACTCATGCCAGGTGTTTATGCATGCATGCCTAAGACCCCAGGAGGAGAATGAAGGAGAATGGATTTTGTGAGAGGTTTTTGCTATAGGGCACGTGCACTTGCCAGAAAGACAGAGACAGAGAGACAGAAAGCGAGGAATCACCCCCCCCAGGGGGATGGTCACGCCGCAGCACCTTCTCCATTCTCCTCCTGGGATTTTGGGCACACACGCACACGCACCTGGTCTAATTATTTTTTTTTTGAGATATTTTTGCTATAGGGCGCATGCGCTTGCCAGACAGACAGAAAGAGACATAGAGACAGAAAGTGAGAAATCACCCCCCAGGGGGGATGGTCACACCGCAATCCCTTCTCCTCCATTCTCCTCTCGGAATCTTGGGCATGCATGCACATGCACCCGGCATGAGTTTAAGCCACCGGGTCCGGGACGCGAATTGCGGTCGACTATGTGGGAGTCCAATGACATAGCCATTATGCTAACTGCTGGTTCCCCTGGTCTAATTTTCATTCCACCAGGTCCGGTACTTGAACTGCAGAGTTGGCCAGAAGTTTTCTTTCTTTCTTTTTTCTTTTTTTCCCTAGAGGATGTGTTTTCTCAGTAGGAAGAGACAGAGAGAAGACAAGAAAGCACCACTCCATAGGGGCTGGTCATGCAATAACCCCATCTCCTGCATTTCTTCCTCCGTTAGGGATTTTGGGCAGAGAATGTTCTAAGGTGAGGGGGCGCTCACCTTTTTGGACTTCAGACTCTGTAGGGTAGCAGATCCGAGGCCCGATTTTCCTGGTCACTGTGCTTGCTCTCTCTCCAAACACTGCATGACCAGTTTCCCCATCTGAAGCTTCATTCTTCTCCCTCACATCCACTTAGGGTTTTGATAACCAAGGGGGTGTTCACTGGGGGCCATGGAAAGGGATTTTCCAGGTCTCTGGAAGGCTGCCAGGGGTCTAGAACTCACTCGCCGGGGATGGGTGGGGCTAGAATCTGGGAGGCCCAGGAGTCCCGCCTGCCCAGCTGTGTTTGAGCAACTGACCTGGCAACGGGGTGGGCCTGACAAACAGCCCGGCTTTCTGAAGCCTCCTGTGCTGTGTCTTCGGGCCACCATGGTGCTGCTCAGGCTCCTGGTACACCTTTTTGCTCTGGCTGTCTCTGGTGAGGAGCTGGTGGGTGGAGGACCCTTCTCAGCTGTGGCACCGTGGAGGGCAGGGGCAGGGAGAGAGCCAGGAAGGGGGAGGGTCTAAACCCTCGTTCTTGACTAAGTTCTCACTCCTCCTCTGTGATGTGGGAATGAGGGAGACCTGAGCTGTTGGTCCCAAGATGTGGCCAGGTATATGGGCAAAGGGCGGGACCGTGCTGGTGTGTGTGGGCACAGAAGCCCCCGGGGACTCCAGCCTGAACCCTCTGCTCCTCACAGACCTCCACAGCCTGCCCTGGTTCATCAACATCTCTGAGAGCTTGGGCCCTGGCAGCGTCCTTTGGTCTTTCTCCTTCAACTGCTCCTCCGACACGGCCACCTTCGAGCTGCTCAGTGTGCAGCCACCCACCACCTTCTTCAATGACCCCAGCTTGGCTGGGTGGCAGGGGACCTATGTGGGCAAGGTAGTCTTGTGGACGCAGCTAGGGACTGTGGGGGGAGGCGTCTGAGGGCAGACCTCAAACTCCCAAAGCCAGAGGTGGTATGGGGAGCAGAGAGTGGAGGCCCCGTCTGGCACTGCCCACCCCTGACAGGTGACCTTGAGCAGCTCTGCTCGGCTGGATGCCCTGGCGGTGAACCACTATAAGCTGCAGCTACAGTTCACATGCGGCAACCACGTGATGGCGATACCCCTGTCCGTGGATGTGCAGCAAGACCCTGGTCATATCCAGTGTGCTGGTCGCTTTGCCAGCCCAGGTGAGGCCAGAGGCAGCAGGTAAGGGGTGGGCAGGCCTTGCCTGAATAGCTCCTTCCTGATCTCTGCTCTGGCCAGCTGGAGAAACCATTCAGGTCCTGGAGACAGTCCCACCTGGGACCCACCTGTATACTCTGCTGCTCCCAGGCCTAGAACACCAGAAAGCCCAGGTGAGTCCAGCACATGGGGCAGAGGGTGACAGGATGGGGGGAGGACACAGAGAGAGGAAGCTCACCCTGCCTGGCCCGACACAGCCTGCAGAGGGACCCTGCAGGGCACCACTGAGCCTCTGCAGCATGCGTGTTCTTGGAGCGAGACACCGAGGGCTGCCAACCCTCAGTGACCCTGTCTGTCTCCACAGGGACATACATCTCAGGGGCTGAATTCTTATAATTCTTCTTTTTTTTTTTTTTTTTTTGAAGAAGTTTTCGCTACAGGGTGTGTGCGCTTGCCAGAAAAAGAGAGACAGAGACAGAAAGCGAGAAATCACCCCCCCAGGGGGGATGGCCATGCCACAATCCCTTCTCCTCCATTCGAATCCTGGCAGCAGTCCTCCCAGAGAAGGCCCTAGTCCAGGGAGGGCCTTCCCTCCGCTGCTTCTCCCAGAGGGTGAAGGTGACTCCTAGTGGGCAGTGGGCCTCTTCTCCCCCTGAAGTCTCCAGGGCTGGCTCTCCCTGAGTAGCTGATACCCCTCAGGGGATTATAAGAGCATTCACCAAAGTTTTTTCAGAAGGAAAAACCAAACTGGATTGCAAATACCTTCAAGAACTGGAGATCAGTAGGGATAGACTGGGCTGGTCAGGTGGCATGGTGGTTAAGGTGGATGGGTCCCGTATGGCCAACTGCTAGGTTCAAGTCCTAGACCTGGTAGCTTGGAAAATACACCAGGTGCATGTGCATGCATGCCCAAAATCCCAAGAAGAGACTGGAGGAGAAGGGACTGCAGCATGGCCATCTACCCTCGGGTGTGCTTTCTTACTTTCTCGCTTTTTCTCTCTGAAGAGGCTACATGCCCTGTAGCAAAATTTAAAATAAATAAATAAAAGAAAGGATAGATCCAGAATTTTAAATAAGCATCACAGACATCCTGACATCTGTGGATCCTAGATTCTGAGAATTAAAAGCACAAAAGCACACAGTTGTGGTATTAAAATACTACTATTTACAATGTGATGAAAAATTACATTCCCTGCAACGATTTATCTTTTTTTTTTTTTTTTTTTTTAGAGGTTTTCTCTATAGGGCGCGTGTGCTCGCCAGACAGACAGACAGAGACAGAGAGACAGAAAGCGAGAAATCACCCCCCGGGGGGATGGTCACACCGCAATCCCTTCTCCTCCATTCTCCTTTTGGGATCTTGGGCACGCACGCACACGTGTCCAGCGTGAGTTTTAAGCCACCGGTTCTGAGACCCGAACCGCGGTCAACTACATGGGAGTCCAGCGACATAGCCATTACGCTAACTGCTGGTCCCCTAGGGGCTGAATTCTTTTCAGAATCTTCTGTGTGCTGAATTCTTAACAATTCTGTATCATTTTTGTAATACAAATTTAGTTAAAAAAAAAAAAGTAATTGTTTTAAATGACAAAGGATTAAGGAGCAGGGCCAGGGTTAAGGAGCCCAGGCTAGGGTAAGGGTCAGTGGTGGGGCATGGGGGAGATGCTGACAGGGATGCTTGGGCACAGTGGGCTGTATGGGACCACCAGCATCTCTGTCCCTTCAGATGAGCATTGTCAGTACCCAGGACCCTCCGAACTTCCCTGGACCTTTCTCCATCAATGAGCAGGGTTGGCTGCAGGCACCATCCCAGGGCCTCCAAGGCCAAGCTAAAAAGGTGAGCGTGACCAAAGGCTTGGGTTACCCTTGGACTGGGCAGTTACCCTCTGGGAATGTGCTTGTTCTTGGCCTCATTGGCTCGTGCTGCCTCCCCAGACCTGCACCTGCTGCCCCATGCTGGCCACCCTCCCACCTTGAGCTAGTTCTGTGCTGGGCTCTGGAGTTCCCGAAGGAAAAGGGGTCCCAGGACCAGCAGATGGCATAATGGTTACATTGTGGGATTCCCATGTAGTCGACCACAGTTCAGGTCCCAGACCTGGCGGCTTAAAACTCCCGCTGGGTGCGTGTGTGTGCACGCCCAAAATCCCCAGAGGAAAATGGAGAAGGGATTGTGGCATGACCATCCCCCTGGGGGGTGATTTCTTACTTTCTGTCTGTGTCTCTGGTGCGTGCACGCATCCAATAGCAAAAATCTCTCTCAAAAAAATAAAAATAAAAAAAAAAGAGGGGTCCCTGACACTGGGACCTCACTGGCTTGCTAACAGAGAATGCTTTGGGCAATCATGCATTAGGAGAAAGTTCTAAGTAAACTGGCCAGTGCAGCCTGAAGGAAGAGAAGCTCCCTCTTTAAAACTTCCACCTCTGGGGCCAGCAGATGGCATGGAGGTTGAGGGACTGGGTCCCATGCGGCTGACCCTGTGACTGCGATTTGTGTCCCAGACTAGGAGGCTTGAAAAATCACTGTGGCGCATGTCGAGCATGCCCAAAGTCCCAACTGGAGGACAAGGGCTTGCCGAGTCTCCCACCCCTCCCTGTGATTCCTCACTTTCTCTCTCTTTGGCAAGCGCATGTGCCCTAGAGCAACAACAACAACAACAAAACCCTTCCACCCCTGAGTGAGTGGGTCTTGGCAACTCAAAGATGATCATTCTCACTGTGAATGACTCAGTTACCACCCTTCCGTGGGATTTCACATCCTAGCAGGCTTCATGGCCCAGGGGATAGGCTCCAGCAGGGTGCCAGCTCAGGGAGAAGAGTGCATGTCTGTGGCAGTCCTGAGGGGCTGTTTGAGGGGGCATGGACATGGAGGTGGACATAGGGGCAGCTCTTTCTGTTCTGTGTGCACCCCAGGTCTTCCAGCTGCAGATCTTGGTGTCCTTTGGACAGGGCCAAAGCTGCCGCGGAATGCTGACGGTGAAGGTTTTGCCTGCTCCCTCTGGCCAGGTCTCCTTCTTGTAAGGCTGTCATGAGAGCAGAGTGGGACACGGGGAGGCAGGACCTAGCTCTGGGAATCAGGCGTGGGGAAAGTGCACCCTGGCTCCCATTGCGGGGCAGCCCCAGGGAGGAGCCTGTAGCTCCCACAGGGATGAGAGGGAGTAGGCAGAAGCCCATACCCCTCTTTTGACCCAGGGAGCAGGCCCTGAATGTCACCATCCCCGAGGACCTGGTCCCAGGGAGCGAGGTGGTTCACGTGAGGGCTCGAGGCCGCGATGTGCACTACGAAATCCTCTCCCCCTTGCCCAGCCCACTCTTCTCCATTGGACTCGGTGAGGGGTGTGGGGGTGGGGACAAGTACCAGGAGGTCTCTGCGGCTGGTCCAGAGGTGACTTGTACTCCCTCCTGGCTCCTCTGAGAAACCACCTCCTGCCAGAGCTGCCACTGGGGTGAGGTGGGGTTGGAGGGCCTGGCCTTGCAGGAAGTGGCTGGACCTGCCAGGCTTAGTGGGCTCCTCCCACAGAGGCTAGAGGTGGGGAACCCCAAGCCAGACCGAGCTGGGGCAGGGCCCAACTCTGCATTCCCGCCCGCCTATCCCGCTCAGCTGATGGTGTGGTCAGGACCACTGCACCCCTAGATTTGGCTCGCACCCCAGGTGCAGCGGTCACCAGGCTCCAGGTGAAGGCCTTCAAGAGGCTCCCACCATGGGCCAGTGCTGAGCTCGACCTCACCGTGACCGTGCAACCGGTCAACCGCTGGCCCCCGCGCTGCCTCCCGGCCCTCCTGGTGTGAGTACCCGGAGCCTCGGTGGACTGCTGGGGCCAGAGCCGGGGCTCGCAGCCAGCGGACCCTGCCTTGCTGCCTGCCCTCGTCTCCCAGGACTCAGGTCCCCGAGACCACCCCGGTAGGCACTGTGCTGGACACCATCAAGTGTGCTGACCCGGACTCTGCCGGTGCCACCCTGGACTACCAGCTGTGGGTTCTCAGCCCTCCCAGCCCTGCCAGCCTCTGCCTTCAAGACACAGCTCTTGAGGTGCCCATCACCTGCTCCCAGACCCACTTGTACAGTGCTTGGGACAGAAAGGGGTGGATGGGCCAAGAATCTCTGGGAGCTGAGGCCCACTTCCCCCACCCCCAGTGGGAGGGAGGGGTGCTCGTTGAGCCAGCCTGCTTGCAGTCTGGTAAACAGGACCAGGGTAGGTAATCTGTGGCTGGACGCAGCCCAGTGAGGCTCAAGGCTCTCCTGCAGGTGAATGCCACGCTGGACTGTGACTCTCCTGGGGCCTGCCTCCAGCAGAGAGCCTCCATCTTGGTGCTCGACGATGGACAGCCCCAGATGGCCAGTGAGTGACCATACCCAGGCCTGCACATTCAGGACAGGGCTGATCTGTCCACACTGCCCAGGGCAGAGTCACCTTTCCTCCAGAAACCAGTAGGGCAGAGTTGTTTCCATTTAAGACCCTAAGGGTGTCCTAGAACCCCGGTAGGGGAGGGCTACTGCCCTCCCTTCCTCCAGACCCTCTCTCTCTTTAGACCCCCAATGCAAGGCCAAGTCTCCCTCCTCAGACTCCCAGGGCAGGGCTGGGCACCACCCCAGTCCGGCTCCTTGACTGCCAAATGGCCCCTAGCCGAGGTCCCAGTACTGGTGGTGGTGACACCTGTCAACGAGTTCTCCCCAGCCTGTGCCCCGCGCACGCTCAGAGCCCGGGAGGATGCCTGGCCCTACAGTCTGCTGGGCTCCGTGGTGGGCACGGATATGGATTACCCACGTGACAGCATAGAGTACTACGTATCCGGCGGGGCCACCACCTTCTCTGTGGACCGTCTCAGCGGTACTTCCACCCCGAGGCTGGGAGGAAGGGGCGGAGCGAGAGTTGGCTCTGCGGGTTGAGGCTGTGGCCACCGTTCTAGGGCAGGTTCACCTCCTGGGGCCTCTGGACTACGAGCAGCAGCGGTTGCACAGGCTCACTGTCCTGCTGATTGACCACGGCCAGGACAGGGACCCCACCAGTCACCGCTCGGGCTCCTGTACCATTACCATCGAGGTGGAGGTGAGTCCCAAGGCCTCGGAAAGGGCCGCTTGTTCAGGTGGTCCTCTGGCAGTCTGCTCGCCACTCTGTGCCTCAGTCTCCTCCATGGTTGGCTGGAGGGACTGAGACCTCACCGTGAAAAGCCTCAGAGCCGGAAGCCTGAGGCCTACAGTCTGTGGTGGGAGGAAGCCGTGGGGCTGGCCTGGGATTTGGAAGGGGTTGTCGCCACTCCTGACCTGGCTGCTCTTCTGCAGGATGTGAATGACCACGCCCCTGAATGTGAGCCCCCATTTCAGGAACTCACCATCCACTCTTCCCTGGGCCATAGCGTGGAGGTGACCAAGGTGTCCTGCCGGATCCCCCAGGAGCCACAACGCCAGGCCTTCTCCTATAGCATCGTGGGAGGTGGGAGCCGAAGGGCCCAGGCTGTGGGTGAGGGGCAGGCCAAGACCAGCAAGGGCCTCCTCCTCCTGCCACTCTGCTTTCAGGGAGCGGCCAGGGTGGATTCAGCCTGCAAGGGGCCATGCTGGTGCACAACGACCCCCTGTTGGGGCCGCCCTGGCCCCGCACCTACGAGCTACTGATCCGTGTGGCCGATGCGGGCCCTTCCACCCCGCACCTCAGCACCACAGCCACCATCATTGTGCATGTCATCCCCTGGAGGGCCAGCACAGTGGCCACCAGCACCCGCAGAGCCACAGTGAGGGGCGTCCTCAGGCCCTCTGGGGGTGGGAAAGAGGACCTTGGAGGGTGAGGAGGAACGATGGGGGACGGCATTCCAGGGGAAACTGTAGGGTGCAAAGAGGCCGACAGTGTAGACGAGTGAATCGGGGTGTGGAGCGGCCAGCCTGTGGAGGGGCAGGGCAGGAGTAAGGCTGTGGCCCTCATTTCAGGGACCCTCTATGACAACACCCCTGCTCGTGACAGTCACAGAGTCTTTCTGGCGGCCGGAGCCCTGGTTTGTGGTGGTGCTGACAAGCACTGGTGCCCTCTTTCTCACGGCTCTGAGCTGGCTCCTCAGCAGGTTCCTGCAGGGGTAGGGCTTCGTCGGTTCTTCCCGCCTCCCCAGCCCTCCTGCGGCCCCTGGTGGTGATGGGTGGTGTCAACCTGAAGTTGGATGAAAATGCTCAAGTTGATGGGCCAACAGGAGGAGGCCTTAGATCAGAGTCAGAGGGACACTAGGAGGGACGGGGCACCCTCACTGGCAGAGTCCAGCCTTGGAATGGGTGGCGTGGCTGAGGCTCAAGGCCTGAGATGCAGATACCTGCCCCCACTATGAAGGGACAGCTGAGTCGTGCTCATGCCTGGAGCCAATGCTGCTGCCCTCACGGCTTGGTACCTCCTCCCGGCTTTTTAGGTGGGCACAGGTGTTGCAGGCACCCTGCAGACCAGCCCAGGCTCTGCTGCTGAACAGGTCAGTCTCCTCTGTGTACGTCCAGGCCCAGAAGCCCGTCTCCTCCTTGGGCTGGGGCCCAGTGCCTATCTTGTGCTCCTGCTCTTACTTTACCCCAGCACCCAGGGAACTGAGGGGTCCCTTGAGGGGTTCATGGAGGCACCGAGGATGGAGATGTCCCAGGCACCCAGCAACCTGGTATGTCAGCTCGCCAACCCAAGTAGTGGGCACGGGGGCTGCTCTGGAGTACTCCCCTGCCAAGCCTGCCTCCTTCCCTGTGGATGCTGCCCCCGTGGCAGTGCCTATACCAGCCCCTTCAGGGTGAAGGAGGCATGGACTCCCGGCCCTCCAGGGGCAGGCCTCCATCTGCTCCCCTGGGGGCAGGATTCAGCACATGCCGCTT